GAGTTCTGAAGCTCCAACAACTCGTCAATCAGATCGTGTGAGAAGGCGTCCCAATTGGCACTCAGATTATGTTATAGAAGGTAATATTGCATATTGCCTTTTAACAGAGGACGGTGAGCCATCAACATACCAGGAGGCAATAAATAGCTCAGATGCTTCATTGTGGATGATGGCGATGCAAGAAGAAATCGAAGCCCTTCATAAAAATAATACATGGGACCTTGTGCCACTTCCACAAGGAAGGAAGCCAATTGGTAACAAATGGGTCTTCAAAATCAAGCGAAATGGTGACGATCAAGTTGAGAGGTATCGTGCAAGACTGGTGGTCAAAGGATGTGCTCAAAAAGAAGGTATTGATTTCAATGAAATATTTTCTCCTGTGGTTCGACTAACAACAGTTCGAGTAGTTTTGCCAATGTGTGCTATATTGAACTTACATCTAGAGCAGCTAGATGTTAAAACAGCTTTTCTTCATGGAAATCTTGAAGAAGATATTTACATGCTCCAGCCTGAAGGTTTTGAAGAAAAATAAAAGAAGAAGTTGTTTGCAGGTTGAACAAATCTCTGTACGGTCTAAAGCAGGCGCCGAGGTGTTGGAATAAGAGATTTGATTCATTCATTATGTTCCTTGGATACAACAGACTTAATGCAAACCCTTGTGCTTATTTCAAGAGGTCTGGTGATAACGATTTTGTTATATTGCTGTTGTATGTGGATGACGTGTTGGTTGCAGGACCCAACAAAGATCATATTGAAGAATTGAAGGCACAACTGCCTAGGGAATTTGAAATGAAGGACTTGGGATCAGCAAACAAGATTCTAGGGATGCAAATTTACCGAGACAGAAGTAATAGGAAGATTTGTCTTTCACAAAAGAATTACTTGAAGAAGATCTTGTCACGATTCAACATGCAAGATTGTAAGACAATTTCTACCCTTCTTCCTATACTTCAAATTATCCTCCAGTATGAGTCCTAGCAGTGAAGAAGAGATGATGGAGATGTCTCGAGTACCGTATGCATCAGTAGTGGGAAGTTTGATGTTCGCTATGATATGCACAAGACCAGACATTGGACAAGCAGTGGGAGTGGTTAGTCGATACATGGCGAATCCAGGCAAAGAGCATTGGAATACAGTAAAGAGGATCCTGAGATACATCAAAGGGACCTCAAATGTTGCATTATGTTACGGAGGATCAAACTTACTAATCAATGGGTATGTAGATTCTGACTATGCAGGAGATTTGGATAAAAGCAAATTTACTACATGATATGTGTTCAAAGTTGCTGGTGGAGCTGTAAGTTGGGTTTCAAAATTGCAGTCAATTGTGGCTACATCCACAACAGAAGCAGAATATGTAGCAGCTACACAAGCCAGTAAAGAAGCAATTTGGCTGAAGATGCTATTGGAGGAGCTTGGGCACAATCAAGAGTATGTCTCTCTGTTTTGTGACAGTCAAAACACCTTGCATCTAGCAAGGAATCCAATATTTCATTCAAGAACAAAGCACATACGAGTTCAGTACCATTTCATTCGTGAAAAGGTGGAAGAAGGAACGATAGATATGCAGAAGATCTATACAAAAGACAACATAGCAGATTTCATGACGAAGGCAATCAACGCTGATAAATTTACCTGGTGTCGATCCTCTTGTAGCCTGTCAGAGACGTAAGTAACATGATGGTACAAGGTAGAAAGAATGGTGTGAAGATATGATTGTTCCAATCAAATCTTCAAGTGGGAGATTGTTGAAAGTCATGGGCGGCTGCATTATTCATTAGCAGCCGACAGCTATAAAAAATTAATTAGGAGCCAAAATTGTTGAAAATTAGCAAGGGTAAAATACCAAATTTTAGTCACTAAAATTTAGGGTATTTACAAATTAGTCCTTAAGTTTCAACTATAAATACCCTAGCTCATTTAGCTTCAAAACCATCCCAAAGCATTCTAGCTTTCTTCCAATACTAGAGAGAATTTAGAGAGTTTCTTGAGAGTTGTTTTCTTTTTTTATCAAGAGAAAATTATCATTGTTTTCTCCTTGGTAGATCGAGAGATGTTGTAATTCCTATTTTCTCATAGTGAAATTCTTCTACCGTTGCCCGTGGTTTTTACCTTATATTATTTAGGGGTTTTCCACGTAAATTTTGTGTCTATTTTATCTTCATTTTTATTTTCTCAAATTATCAGTTGTGATTTTGCTCTATCTGATAGCCGTCTTGCGCAACAACCTCATCACAGCCGTCATTGCCCAACTTTTTATGTTCATCAACACGTAAAATTCAAATTTTGGTTAAAATAAACGTTATTATTTAAAAATATCCCTAAAAATACCATAAATGATGGGATAACGATATAAAAATAATAAAATTTTATTTAAATTTTTAAAAAATTGCCTTTAAATTAAATTAAAATGAATTATGCATAAAAGAAGTCGATTGAACTTTTTAACAACTTCATGAAGATGTTAAGATTGTAGGGCGTATTCCCAATTATTCAGGGTTGTTTCACGTTGCTATGCATAGTTTGGATATTTAGTAGTAAGGGATCTAAAAATATATTTTAAGATATATATATATATATATATATATATTATATTAATAAAAGAAATTATATGAGATAAATACCAATAAAATTTCAAAACAGATGATATCAATAAAATAAATATAAAAACTCAAAATTTAAAATGAACACAAACTTATTCTAAAATATACATGCATACACTGATATGCATTCGTTGTGCAGAAAACATCTTACAGTCCTAATATTTTTATGAAGTCGTCAGTAAGTTGGACTGACTTCCTCCTACATTATTTCTATCGTCCAAGTTGAAAAGTAAAACTCCACGGGCACTATCTAAAGAGTTGTTTTCCCCCTAAATCATTATCCCAATATTTTCTTCCCTCATAATATTAAACATGTTAATTTTTATTTAAAAATTTTAATTTAATTATTTAATTTTCAAATATTTCTATCAAATATTGCAAAACCCATACAATTATATCGATTTACAAAAAGAAAATTATAAATTCCATAAGCATGTTACCATAACAAGTGAATTCTGATGAAAAATAGTAGTTATATTAATTAGTCTAGAATTTTTAAGTTAAAAAATTTATCTTTGAATGGTTATTATTCAACGAGGTAGGATTCGAGTGCTATCAATATCAAATGGTTAAGAGTTATCTTTGAACAAATATTACTTATATTTATTTCATATTAATCATAAAAATTAAAATAAAAAAATCTTTTAACATTTTAAATAAAAGACTAAATCATAAAAATTATCGAACCGCATATATAAAAGGCATATTCCGACTTTAATATTTCAACATTTGATTCGAGCCCTTCTTGACCTTGCTCAATTTTTTTTCTGTTGTTAAATGAAATATATATTACTTTCTAGACAATGCTTATAACTCCAATTCCTGAAGACTTTAATATTTCATTACAGTCGTAAAAAAAAGGAATAAAATAAAATAAAGCTGTCGGAAAATTGACAGAGAATCAGACATACACACAACAACATGTACCATAGTTTCATATCTGTTGTTTGTTTTACATACATCACAGTGGGGGAAAGGAATTTAGTGGGATTACCAATTAATAACAAACTAAAACGTCATTAGAGAAACTGAACATGAACAGATTAAAACAGGATTTTAATTACCAAAGCCAATTATTACATCTAAAAGGCATTTTTTTAATGGGATTTGTCGTTTAGAGTCGAATCAATTATATGAACAATTTATTATTAATAAAAAAAACTGAGAAATTTGAGTGAACTTTTTGGGTGAATAAAGTTTTATTAGACAAGGAATATAGTGGTAGGGAAGAAGAATGAGATTAGGAGATTGCGTTGTCCCAGATTGCATGATGTTATATATCTGGAACCATATGTTGGAGGGGAAAAAAAGCAAAAGGGGACCAAAACTATAAACCAAATATAAAATGTTTTTCTTTTACCAATTTTTATTAGATTAAGCGGTAAAAAGTTTTAATTTTTCTTAAAAAAATAATTCAAATTCAAACTTTACGAATAAAAATTATCTTTTAAAGTAAGATTTAGTTAAGTTTGATCTAAATTTAATCAAATTTATTGTAATTAAGGGGTATAAGAAGATTTCAACATAAAATTTTTAATGCATTTTCTTACCGAAGTTATATTTTAACTAATATCAATAAGATAATATATTTTATTTTGAATTCAGTTATTGTGAATAAAAACATAATTAAAATTTATCTTTTAAATAAATTAAAAAAATATCTTTTACATATAATCTAATCTAATTCAATTTAAACTTAATCGTTACTTTTTTTTATAGAAACCATAATTCTAATTAAAAAAAAATCTAAATTATAATAAAAACTTAAAATTACAACAATAAATTGAACACATAATAAATATCATTAGCATAAGAAAAATAACCACTTAAGGTCACACAATAAGCTCTAACCAAGTAAACTCTAATAAAAGGTAAATACGAACAAATTTGATTTCATCAAAAAACAAACAATCAAATGGATCAAACTATTGAAAAACAAACGGCAAATCACAAATCAGAGTTGAGCGACATAAAAAAACTATCCACAAACGTAAATTGTGTATCCAAATCCAATCTGAGGGTCCAAAGCAAAGAAAATCATCATTATAATAAATAAGTGTCATCTTGATTAGTCGTGGTGATGTCAAATCCAACTCTGAAAAAAGAATAAACAAAAATAATGACCAAAATATCAAAAACATGTCATAAAGGTAAATGAAAACTTGTTATAAAGCAGAGTTTTAAAAAATTTAAAACAATGAAAAAGTAAAAATGCATTATAATAAAGTAAAAATAATGATGAATACCAGTGATCAGTGACCAATACTAAAACTAATATTATTGTCAGTCATAGAGATAAAAAAAAGAAATTATTGACGATAAAAAAAGAAGAGAAATGACAAAGACAACACCTAATTATTTTTTATAAAGTTTAGTACTTTCAAAATGTTTTATAAGATGGTGAGATTCTTCACTAATCAAATAGGAAGTGTTGATGAGGGTGTCAAGGGTTGTGATGTAGGGGTTCTAAGAAAGCTACTTAGGTGAGAGCTTGTTAAGGGAGGCCATTATGGATAAGATTAAAGTTGCTTTCTTTAGTCAGGGGAAGGACAAGGCCCCTGGCCCTGATAGCTACACAGTTGGGTTTTCAAGTCTATTTGGACATTGTTGATGCTAATGTTGTATATGCAATCATTTTTTTAGTTCTTTTGTTTTGCACCCTATTTTCAATTATACTGCTATTACTTTGGTTCCTAGAATTCTTAATCCCAGTATGGCTAAGGATTACAGACCGATTTCTTGTTGTTATGTTATTTACAAGGTAATCACTAAAATCCTTGTAGCTAGGCTCACTAATTTGTTTCTTGGAATGATTCTTTTAAACCAGTCTGTTTTTTAAAGAGACAGAAGTATTATGGATAACACCTTGCTGGAATAGGAGTTGGTGAGGGGGTATGGTAGAAGGACTTTGTCTTCAAGGTGTGCTATTAATGCTGATTTGTAGAAAGTTTTTGACTTCTTAAGCTGGAGCTTTGTTTTAGGGATTTTGGAGAGTTTGGGAGTGCCTGCTCAGTTTAGTCAATGGATCATTGTTTGTATCACTGGTTCTAGGTTTTCCATTTCATTTAATGAGAGTTTGGTTGGGTACTTTATGGACGAGAGGGGTATAAGGTAGGGAGATCCTTTATCTCCCTACCTGTTTGTCTTGTCAATAAGTGTGCTTTCTAAGTTGTTGAATGTTGTTGCTGCAAAAAAGGTCTTTCAGTTTCATCCTAAGTGTGGGATAATTGGTTTTGAGGTGGGTGTCGATTGTATCATTGATAAGTTTTATGAATTTTCAAGGCTATGGCTTAATGCAACTAAATCTGAACTGTTCTCCTCTAGTATGAGTGGGACCCAATTGAAGCTAATTCATGAAGCTATTGAATTCAAGATTAGGACTCTACCTGTTAGATACCTGAGAGTTCCTATGGTGCCTCAAAAGCTATCTAAAAAAGATTGAAGTGGGCTGGTGGAGAAGTTGAAGGCTAAGCTTAGGCAGCGATCCAGTAGATGGCTCAACTATATCGGCATGATGCAGTTGATCGGGATTGTACTTCATAGTATATTACCAAATCCTGGTGTAGGCAAGTTATTTTGCCAACTTATATTATTGGGAGAATTGAGCAATTTTGTGCTCGATTTTTTTCGAAAGGAAGAGACATCCTTGCAAGGGAGCCAGGATTGGACAGGGCTCTATTTGTATCCCAAAGTCTGAGGGTGGTCTATTGTTAAGAAATTTGAAAAGCTGGAGTAAGGCTTGTGTACTTCTGTTGATGAGGAATGTGCTTGCCAATGTAGGGTCACTTTGGGTAGCCTGGATCTATACTTAAGTTTTTAAGGTTGTAGATTTTTGGCAGGTTGTTTGTAGACCCATTTTAGTTGGATCTTGAAGAAGATTTTAAGGTTGAGGGGGGAGACCATGCCTTTGTTCTCTGGCAAATTTATGGGTGAGGTAACATTAATGTGGTTTTGGGATAAGACTAGGAATAAGAAAAAGAAGATTGAATGGAAAAAGGTTGTTTGATTCTCCATGAACATTCTCAAGCACTCTGTCAATGCTTGGATGGTTATGTTGAATTGGCTTCCTACTGCTGATCAGTTGGTTAGGTTAAGGATGAATGTGGATGAAGGTTGCAGGAACTGTGATGGGATGAGACAAGAATCACGTGATAATGTGTTTTTCGAGTGCCAGTTTTCTAAGGAGTGTGGGTTGTTGTGTTGCGGTTGTGTGGCATATGCAGGGCTGTGGGGAGTTGGAGTGAAGAGCTTGACTGGGTTGTCTCTTGGTTTAAGGGTAAATCACTTTTGGTGTATGTGCTGAAAGTTGCTTGGTGTGCTTTTGTTTATTGCACTTGGGAAGAAATGAACCATAGGCAATTTAGACATGAAAGAAAGAGTGTAAATGAGGTGGTAGATGCCATTAAGGATGTTGTTCGCATCAAGATTTATATGAAGAATATACAAAGGGATATTGTAATTTGTGTATATCATGGGGTGTGTAATTCTTTTCCCGTGAAGGGATGTTGTTTGTAGATGTACTTTGTAGTAGATTTGGGGTGATTTTCCCCAAAAATCACCCTACACCTATATATTTCTCTGTCAGGCACCATTCAGGCTATATTTCCCGATCTAACACCCTTTGCAGTAAAGCGCGCCCCTACAACGCGCTTTAGGCTGATCTGGCGCCAAGTGGGGTAAGGCGCGCCCCCTGCAGTGCGCAATGGTAAATGTGTAAAAAATTAGAGTGCTAATTTTGTAAATATTTTTAAACTGGTGCCTAATATGTAATTAATTTCTATTAGAGTGATATATGTGTAAAAACACCAACTTTATCTATTTATTTTTTGTGATATTATTTTTAACAACAGTTAATAATGTTTATTGACTTTTAAAATTAATTGTTTAAAAATATTAAAATAAACTTTTAATTACAATTGAGAAATCAAATTAATTATTATTCACTTTTTAAAAATAAATAAAAATGCAAAAAATGAATTAAAATGAATAAAATTCAATAAAAATATAATGTAAAGCTAAAAAACATCACCTCTTTATTTAAAATATTCTTTCTAATATTAATTTTAAAAAATATAAAATAAATATTAAATTTCAATTTTATTAAAAATGAATAAACATTAGTAACTGTTGTTAAAAAATAATAATTAATGAATAATAATTCAGTTGATCCCTCAATTGCAATTAATAGTTTATTTTAGTCAAGTTTATGATTGTTAAACAGTCGAAGGTGTGGAAAGCTACAGGAATCGAATGAAAATTCGATCGTACAAAGTCAATAACTTAAAATTGTCTAAATACTGTCTAAATATCAACTCAATTGTACCACGAATAAACATTCGATCGAAGAGTTGATCTTTTCTGCTCAATCTTCACAAAAATTGTTTTGTCTCGCCATTAATTATTATTTTTTAACAATAGTTAATAATATTTATTCATTTTTAATAAAATTAAAATTTAAAATTTATTTTATATTTTTTAAAATTAATATTAGAAAAAATATTTTGGTGATATTTTTAGCTTTACATTATATTTTTATTGAATTTTATTCATTTTTAATTTATTTTTATTGCATTTTTCTTTATTTTTTAAAAAAATAAATAATAATTCATTTGATCTCTCAATTGTAATTAAAAATTTATTTTAATATTTTTAAATAATTAATTTTAAAAGTCAATAAACATTATTATCTGTTGTTAAAAATAATATCACAAAAAAATAAATAGATAAAATTGACATTTTACACAAATATCACCATAACTGAAATTAATTACATATTAGGCACCACTTAAAAAATATTTATAAAATTAATATCCGAGTTTTTACACGTTTAACAAGGCGTGTTGCAGGGGGCGCGTCTTACTCCACGTGGCAGGCGTAAAGCGCGGAGTAGGGGCGCGCCTTCTGCAAAAGTTGTTAGATCGTGAAATATAACTTGAACGGTGTCTGACATGAAAATATATAGGTGTAGAGTGATTTTTGGGGAAAATCGCCCAGATTTGTTATGTTCTATTGAATAATAAAATTGTCAATTTATTCAAAAAAAATGCTTTATAAGATAATATTTTTATTTGTAGTCTTTTTAGAAAATCAACTTTTTGCCGAAATCTTAAAAAAATCAATGGATAACATTATATTACGAAAACTTAAAGAGTTTTAGTTTTACATAGATTTAAGATCGTTGGACGAGTGAAAATAAATTGTTGAAATTAACAATAGAAAATGATAAAATATTCATTGGAAAAAAAAGAATAAGAAATTAATTTCAACCGTCAAATTTCACTTATCGAACGATCCTAAATTTGTATAAAACTAAAATATTTTTATATTGTATAAATAAATCTCAATCCAATATGCCATATATGATAGATTACAAAATATTCTCCAAATATTTTGTATTTACTATTGTATATTTAGTTGCCTAAGTTATAGCCTAATTCCTAATTACAAAATATTCTCCAAATATTTTGTATTTACTATTGTATATTTAGTTGCCTAAGTTATAGCCTAATTCCTAAATTATAGCCTAATGATTAGGATTGTATCTACTAATGACTGTGTATATATTGAACCCCTGTGGTAATGAAAAAGGACACGGAATTACATTCTTTCATGGTATCAGCTACGGTTGATCTATCCTAGCTTCTGCAACCCTATTTTTTTCTCTTCCTCTTCTTCTCTGTCTTCTGTCCTTCCGTCTGATATGGCTCCCACATCATCTTCCTCATCCTTTCACCCTGCTCTTGCTGTTTCTAACATCAAGACACATATTCCCATCACTCTTGAGATGGAGAACGTCCAATATACAAATTGGGCAGAGTTATTCAAGGTCCATTGTCGATCTCACAAGGTTCTTCATCATATTATCCCACCGAAATCTAAGGACGGGGAGGCCACAGAGCCGGCTATCTTTAGTCAGGAAGAACAAGAGTTGTGGGATACGTTGGATGCTGCTGTGGTTCAGTGGATTTATTCCACAATTTCGACAGATCTTTTGAATACCGTTATTGAAGCCAATGTTTCTGCCATGACTCTATGGAATCGTCTTCGCGATTTGTTTCAGGATAATGAGAACTCTCGTGCTGTTTCCTTGGAACACGAGTTCAACAACACCTACTTGAAGGATTTCTCCTCGGTTTCTGCATATTGCCAGCACCTCAAAACACTTTCCGACCAACTCAAGAATGTGGGTGCTCCGGTTTCGAACAATCGTCTTGTTCTTCGCATGGTGGGTGGTCTTACACCGGCTTACAAGGGAGTTGCTTCGGTTATTCGCCACAAAAAGGTACTACCACCTTTTTATGAAGTTCGATCGATGTTGGCCTTAGAAGAAACCAGCATGAAGGAGGCGACGACTGATGATGCGATGATGGTGACTAATCATGACACTGATGAGATTTCTAATCATCCTCCTACAGGTCGTGCACGTGGGAAACAGAACAAGCACCGCAACAACAACAAAAACCGCAAACCTACTAGTAGTGGAGTTCAGACGCCGGGTGTTGGACGTGGTGGCAACCGTGGAGGTGGTCCGAACTTGGGCGGTGGTCAGTAGGGTCCGATGCAACCAACATGGGCTATGCCTCCTTGGTGGACATGGATGCAACCACCTTGGGTCATGCCTCCTTGTCCATATCCGACTCAACCTTGGGGTAGGCAAGTTGGACCACGACAACCTGGTATTCTAGGAGCACGACCTCAGCAGCAGCAAGCCTATACTACATCGTCCGAGTGGGCTCCTACGGATATTGAGTCCGCCATGCACACCATGTCTCTCTCTCAATCGGATCCAAACTGGTATATGGATACTGGGGCGACGTCTCATATGACATCAACACAAGGTAATCTCTCGTCTTATGTTAATATGAGCAAAGATAATGGTGTTACTGTTGGTAGTGGTCAGTCAATTCCAATTCGTGGTTACGGTCATACCGTATTACCTTCCCCGAACCCACCTTTGTCTCTCAAACATGTCCTGCATACTCCGAATCTTATTAAAAATTTAGTGTCTGTTCGAAAATTTACAACTGATAATAATGTGTCAGTGGTGTTTGATCCTTGTGGGTTTTTCGTGCATGATTTACAGACGGGGAGACGTCTAATGAGATGTGATAGTACCATCTCTCTCTACCCAATCACTCCCACCAGACCGCATCCAGCCTCATCTCCTACTGTTTTGCTTGCTTCAACGCTTTGGCATGACCGTTTAGGTCACCCGGGCGACTCCATTTTATACATTCTTCAGCAAAATAAACTGATTGCTTGTAATAGTCCATCTAAGTCTACTACTTGTCAATCTTGTGTACTGGGAAAACATATTCGGTTGCCTTTTGTTCTTTCATCTTCTCAACTTTCATGCATTTTGATATTATTCATAGTGATATTTGGACTTCTCCCATTTTGAGTTCTTCGGGACATCGTTATTATGTGCTTTTTTTTGGATGA